TAATTCTCTCTGTACGAAGTGGTATTGAAAAGGGCCCTTCTTGTGCAGTATTTCTTTTATGAAAAATCTATAGCTATAACAGTTTCTATAAGCATTTAATACAATGTCACAGAAAAGCACAATCACACAGCACAACATTTTTTTTTTAAAGAACTTTATCAAGACTCTTTGTGGGATGAAACGCATCAGTGGACTGCACTATGCTGTGAAGCTGTAGCTTTCCAAGCACCTCAGGGTTTCTAGTGGTAAGATCTCTTGATTGTAGTCCTCTGTTCTGCTTGTCTACAGTAGGGGGATTTCAGCAATTTCACCAATTTCTGCCCGATTCTCTATAACAGTGGTCTCCAAACTGCAGCCCGGGGGAAGCAGCCCTTTGCTTGCCTTTGTCTGGCCCTTGAGGTAATATTCCTCACACTGACACTAATGATGAGGCACTATTCCTCTCACTAAAATCAATGATGGGATACTATTCCTCCCACTGACACCAAAGAGTTTTCTATTCCTACTGGCCTGCCTAAAGGACAGTAAACTGGACATTTGTTTAGAAAGTTTGGAGACCCCTGCCTTACAATTAGAGATGAGCGAATCAAACTTGGCGAAGTGGAATTCGTTTCGAATATTAGGAAAATTTCGATGCGCGAAAACTTTGGATGCGCGAATCGAAATTTTTTCCAAAAATGGCGGCGACATGTGCGGCGACGGAGCGGGGATCTGTGGGAACGCGCGCAGACAAGGCGCACTGACCCATAATGCATTCATTCATGACATGTGATCGAATTAGCCAATCAGCAGCCAGCCAGCCAGCACTGTGTAATGGTCGAGCTATAAATTGCGGCCATTTTAGAATTCTCCATTAGTCTCCAGTCATTCAAGAGAGACAGACCACCTGTCTGTATTGAGGGACAGAGTTAGGGACACAGAATCGTTACTTAGGGACACAGAACCGTTACTTAGGGACACAGAACCGTTACTTAGGGACACAGAACCGTTACTCAGGGACACAGAACCCGTTACTTAGGGACACACAATCGTTACTTAGGGACACAGAACCGTTACTTAGGGACACAGAACCGTTACTTAGGGACACAGAATTGTTACTCAGGGACAGACACAGAATTGTTACTCAGGGACAGACACAGAATTGTTACTCAGGGACACAGAATTGTTACTGAGGGACACAGAATTGTTACTGAGGGACACAGAATTGTTACTCAGGGACAGACACAGAATTGTTACTCAGGGACAGACACAGAATTGTTACTCAGGGACAGACACAGAATTTTTACTGAGGGACACAGAATTGTTACTGAGGGACACAGAATTGTTACTGAGGGACACAGAATTGTTACTCAGGGACAGACACAGAATTGTTACTCAGGGACAGGCACAGAAATTGTTACTCAGGGACAGACACAGAATTGTTACTCAGGAACAGACACAGAATTGTTACTGAGGGACACAGAATTGTTACTGAGGGACACAGAATTGTTACTGAGGGACACAGAGAATTGTTACTCAGGGACACAGAATTGTTACTCAGGGACACAGAATTGTTACTCAGGGACAGACACAGAATTGTTACTGAGGGACACAGAATTGTTACTGAGGGACACAGAATTGTTACTCAGGGACAGACACAGAATTGTTACTGAGGGACACAGAATTGTTACTGAGGGACACAGAATTGTTACTCAGGGACAGACACAGAATTGTTACTGAGGGACACAGAATTGTTACTGAGGGACACAGAATTGTTACTCAGAGACAGACACAGAATTGTTACTGAGGGACACAGAATTGTTACTGAGGGACACAGAATTGTTACTCAGGGACACAGAATTGTTACTCAGGGACAGACACAGAATTCTTACTGAGGGACACAGAATTGTTACTGAGGGACACAGAATTGTTACTCAGGGACAGACACAGAATTGTTACTGAGGGACACAGAATTGTTACTCAGGGACACAGAAATTGTTACTGAGGGACACAGAATTGTTACTCAGGGACACAGAATTGTTACTCAGGGACAGACACAGAATTGTTACTGAGAGACACAGAATTGTTACTGAGGGACACAGAATTGTTACTCAGGGACACAGAATTGTTACTCAGGGACAGACACAGAATTGTTACCGAGGGACACAGAATTGTTACTGAGGGACACAGAATTGTTACTCAGGGACACAGAATTGTTACTCAGGGACACAGAATTGTTACTCAGGGACAGACACAGAATTGTTACTGAGGACACAGAATTGTTACTCAGGGACAGACACAGAATTGTTACTGAGGGACACAGAATTGTTACTGGGACACAGAATTGTTACACAGGGACACAGAATTGTTACTCAGGGACACAGAATTGTTACTCAGGGACACAGAATTGTTACTCAGGGACACACAGAATTGTTACTGAGGGACACAGAATTGTTACTCAGGGACACAGAATTGTTACTCAGGGACAGACACAGAATTGTTACTGAGGGACACAGAATTGTTACTGAGGACACAGAATTGTTACTCAGGGACAGACACAGAATTGTTACTGAGGGACACAGAATTGTTACTGAGGGACACAGAATTGTTACTCAGGGAAACAGAATTGTTACTCAGGGACACAGAATTGTTACTCAGGAGACAGACACAGAATTGTTACTGAGGGACACAGAATTGTTACTGAGGGACACAGAATTGTTACTCAAGGACACAGAATTGTTACTCAGGGACACAGAATTGTTACTCGGACACAGAATTGTTACTGAGGGACACACACAGAATTGTTACTGAGGGACACAGAATTGTTACTGAGGGACACAGAATTGTTACTCAGAGGGACACAGAATTGTTACTCAGGGACAGACACAGAATTGTTACTGAGGGACACAGAATTGTTACTGAGGGACACAGAATTGTTACTCAGGGACACAGAATTGTTACTCAGGGACAGACACAGAATTGTTACTGAGGGACACAGAATTGTTACTGAGGGACACAGAATTGTTACTGAGGGACACAGAATTGTTACTCAGGGACACAGAATTGTTAGTCAGGGGAACAGACACAGAATTGTTACTGAGGGACACAGAATTGTTACTCAGGGACACAGAATCGTTGAATTAAAGAGTATGTCAGACAACACGCAGAGGAGTGGCAGAGGAGGCAATGTTTTAGGAGGAGCGAGCAGACGTGGCAGCAGAGGAAGGGTCGAGGCAGCACTAGTCGCAGCCAGAGGCCAGTGCTCCCGGTGTCATCCAGCGAGCGGTCGTGTCTCCACCGACAACCCTGCCGTCATCGATTGGTTGGCTCTGTCGTCTTCCTCTTCCCAGGTCACCTCTGACACCTACAGCCAACGGTCGGTGGGTACGTCAGACACAACCGTTAGTTGGCATGGCCCGGGAGCAAGCCCACTGAAATCACGTGTCCTCTACCTGCCCCTGTTCCTTTGGTGTTCCCTCACCAAGCGAAGTATCGCATGCTGTGGGCTCAGCCCCACTGTACAGTGAGGAAGAGCTTAACAGAGGGCGGTCAATCAGGAACGGGGGGAGACATCCGCCTCTTCAGCAGCCAGGCGAAGAAGTACTGGCGAGGAGAGTGGCTCGGTAGCCGGTCTAGAGACAGGTCTGTCTCCTGAGCACACGCAGCCGAGGGGGGCTAGTAGTGAGGCGGAGACCCTAATTGATGATGATGAGGCTGATTGCACTTGGCAGCCTCGTCGTCATCAGGCTATTGCTTCCGAATCATCAGAGAAGAGGTGGCAGCTTGGGCAGCGAGCAAACATTCGGTCGGGGTTGCCCAGGAGGCAGCAGGGTCGCAGCAGTGTCAGTGGAGGCAAACGGCCACGGAGTAGAGCACCAGCTCCACTGCAGCCTACCACCACGGCCATAGTAGTGGTGTCGGTGTGCACGGAGGACAGTAGCAGTCAGCCAGTGAGGAGTAGCGGGGGCAAAGTTTCCAACTCGGCGGTGTGGGCAATTTTTCGTCAAGCCGCCCGAGGAAGTAAACGTTGCCGTATGTCGACTATGTGGCCAGAAAGTCAAGCATGGCCAAGGGGCCCATGTTGGGACTACAGCGTTGCGTCAGCATATGCAGCGTCGCCATTTGGTGGCCTGGGAAAACCGTTATAAAGATACGGCGGTTCTGCCTTGCCTCCTCATGCTGCTGCCAGGTCCAGAGTGTCTCATGGGTCCCTGTACGGCCTCCCATTGCTGCGTCTCCATCGCCACACTCTGCCATGTGCCACTTTCAGGTCTCCTCACACACTGCTGGTGGGTTCCATTTTGTCATAGGGTGCCTGCAGATTACGGGCCTCTCCATTGCTGCTGGCCAGCATGAGCCCGTAATCTGCCATGGGCCACCTGTACCGCCTCCTCATGCTGCTGCCAGGTCCAGAGTCTCTCATGGGTCCCCGGACCGTACGGCCCTCCATTGCTGCTGTCTCCATCGCCACACTCTGCCATGTGCCACTTTCAGGTCTCCTCACACTGCTGGTGTGTGTTCCATTTTTTTGACATAGGGTGCTGGCAGATTACGGGCCTCCCATTGCTGCTGCCAGGCCCGTTAATCTGCCATGGGCCCCCGTACCGCCTCCTCATGCTGCTGCCAGGTCCAGAGTCTCTCATGGGTCCCTGTACGGCCTCCCATTGCTGCTGTCTCCATCGCCACACTCTGCCAACGTGCCACTTTCAGGTCTCCCTCACACTGCTGGTGGGTGTTCCATTTTTTGTCATAGGGTGCTGGCAGATTACGGGCCTCCCATTGCTGCTGCCAGGCCCCCGTAATCTGCCATGGGCCCCCGTACCGCCTCCTCATTGCTGCTGCCAGGTCCAGAGTGTCTCAGGGGTCCCTGTACGGCCTCCCATTGCTGCTGTCTCCATCGCCACACTCTGCCATGGTGCCACTTTCAGGTCTCCTCACAGCACTGCTGGTGCTATTTTTTGACATATAGGTGCTGGCAGATTACGGGCCTCCCATTGCTGCTGCCAGGCCCCTAATCTGCCATGGGCCCCCGTACCGCCTCCTCATGCTGCTGCCAGGTCCAGAGTGTCTCATGGGTCCCTGTACGGCCTCCCATTGCTGCTGTCTCCATCGCCAACACTCTGCCATGTGCCACTTTCAGGTCTCCTCACACACTGCTGGTGGGTTCCATTTTGTCATAGGGTGCTGGCAGACTACGGGCCTCCCATTGCTGCTGCCAGGCCCGTAATCTGCCATGGGCCCCTCGTACCCGCCTCCTCATGCTGCTGCCAGGTCCAGAGTCCTCATGGGTCCCTGTACGGCCTCCCATTGCTGCTGTCTCCATCGCCACACTCTGCCATGTGCCACCCTTTCAGGTCTCCTCACACTGCTGGTGGGTTCCATTTTTTTCACATAGGGTGCTTGGCAGGATTACGGGGGCCTCCCATTGCTGCTGCCAGACCCCTAATTCTGCCATGGGCCCCCGTACGCCTCCTCATGCTGCTGCCAGGTCCAGAGTGTCTCATGGGTCCCCTGTACGGCCTCCCATTGCTGCTGTCTCCATCGCCACACTCTGCCATGTGCCACTTTCAGGTCTCCTCACACTGCTGGTGGGTTCCAGCCAATTTTGCCATAGGGTGCTGGCAGATTACGGGCCTCCCATTGCTTGCTGCCAGGCCCGTAATCTGCCATGGGCCCCCGTACCGCCTCCTCATGCTGCTGCCAGGTCCAGAGTCTCTCATGGGTCCCTGTACGGCCTCCCATTGCTGCTGTCTCCATCGCCACACTTGCCATGTGCCACTTTCAGGTCTCCTCACACTGCTGGTGGTTCCATTTTTGTCATAGGGTGCTGGCAGATTACGGGCCTCCCATTGCTGCTGCCAGCCCGTAATCTGCCATGGGCCCCCGTTTACCCTGCCTCCTCATGCTGCTGCCAGGTCCAGAGTCTCTCATGGTCCCTGTACGGCCTCCCATTGCTGCTGTCTCCATCGCCACACTCTGCCATGTGCCTCTTTCAGGTCTCCTCACACTGTTGGTGGGTTCCATTTTGTCATAGGGTGCTGGCAGATTACGGGCCTCCCATTGCTGCTGCCAGGCCCGTAATCTGCCATGGGCCCCCGTACCGCCTCCTCATGCTGCTGCCAGTCCAGAGTCTCTCATGGGTCCCTGTACGGCCTCCCATTGCTGCTGTCTCCATCGCCACACTCTGCCATGTGCCACTTTCAGGTCTCCTCACACTGGCTGGTGGGTTTCCATTTTGTCATAGGGTGCTGGCAGATTACGGGCCTCCCATTGCTGCTGCCAGGCCCGTAATCTGCCATGGGCCCCCGTACCGCCTCCTCATGCTGCTGCCAGGTCCAGAGTCTCTCATGGGTCCCTGTACGGCCTCCCATTGCTGCTGTCTCCATCGCCACACCTCTGCCATGTGCCACTTTCAGGTCTCCTCACACTGCTGGTGTGTTCCATTTTGTCATAGGGTGCTGGCAGATTACGGGCCTCCCATTGCTGCTGCCCAGACCCGTAATCTGCCATGGGCCCCTTACCGGCCTCCTCATGCTGCTGCCGGGTCCAGAGTGTCTCATGGGTCCCTGTACGGCCTCCCATTGCTGCTGTCTCCATCGCCACACTCTGCCATGTGCCACTTTCAGGTCTCCTCACACTGCTGGTGGGTTCCATTTTTTGGTCATAGGGTGCTGGCAGATTACGGGCCTCCCATTGCTGCCCAGGCCCCCTAATCTGCCATGGGCCCCCCGTACCGCCTCCTCATGCTGCTGCCAGGTCCAGAGTCTCTCATGGGTCCCTGTACGGCCTCCATTGCTGCTGTCTCCATCGCCACACTCTGCCATGTGCCACTTTCAGGTCTCCTCACACTGCTTGGTGGGTTCCATTTTTCATAGGGTGCTGGCAGATTACGGGGCCTCCCATTGCTGCTGCCAGGCCCGTAATCTGCCATGGGCCCCCGTACCGCCTCTCATGCTGCTGCCCAGGTCCAGAGTCTCTCATGGGTCCCTGTACGGCCTCCCATTGCTGCTGTCCTCATCGCCACACACTCTGCCATGTGCCATCCACTTCAGGTCTCCTCACACTGCTGGGTGGGTTCCATTTTGTCATAGGGTGCTGGCAGATTACGGGCCTCCCATTGCTGCTAGCCAGGCCCCGTAATCTGCCATGGGCCCCTGTACCGCCTCCTCATGCTGCTGCCAGGTCCAGAGTCTCTCATGGGTCCCCTGTACGGCCTCCCATTGCTGCTGTCTCCATCGCCACACTCTGCCATCATGTGCCACTTTCAGGTCTCCTCACACTGCTGGTGTGGTTCCATTTTGTCATAGGGTGCTGGCAGATTACGGGCCTCCCATTGCTGCTGCCAGGCCCGTAATCTGCCATGGGGCCCCCCCGTACCGCCTCCTCATGCTGCTGCCAGGTCCAGAGTCTCTCATGGGTCCCCTGTACGGCCTCCCATTGCTGCTGTCTCCATCGCCACACTCTGCCATGTGCCACTTTCAGGTCTCCTCACACTGCTGGTGGGTTCCATTTTGTCATAGGGTGCTGGCAGATTACGGGCCTCCATTGCTGCTGCCAGCCCGTAATCTGCCATGGGCCCCCGTACCGCCTCCTCATGCTGCTGCCAGGTCCAGAGTCTGTTCATGGGTCCCTGTACGGCCTCCCATTGCTGCTGTCTCCATCGCCAACACTCTGCCATGTTGCCACTTTCAGGTCTCCTCACACACTGCTGGTGGTGTGTTCCATTTTGTCATAGGGTGCTGGCAGAATTAGCGCCTCCCATTGCTGCCCAGGGCCCGTAATCTGTCTGGGCCCCTGTACCGCCTCCCTCATGGCTTGCCTGCCAGTGCCCGTTAATCTGTTATCAAGGGTCCCTGTACGCCTCCCATTGCTGCTGTCTCCATCGCCACACTCTGCCATGTGCCACTTTCAGGTCTCCTCACACTGCTGGTGTGTTCCATTTTGTCATAGGGTGCTGGCAGATTAACGGGCCTCCCATTGCTGCTTGCCAGGCCCGTAATCTGCCATGGGCCCCCATACCGACTCCTCATGCTGTGACGTTGCAACAAGTGGAATTCAACCCTACATATGTTAGACCGCCTTTACGAACAGCGAAAGGCCATCACCGATTTCCTGATGTTACAAGCGGATAAAGGTACTCCCCTGTGTAACTTAGATGTCAGCCATTGGCAGCTCATGCGTGACACCTGCCGCTTGCTCAGACCCTTTGAGGGGGGAGGAGGCCACGCTATTCGTGATCGGCAGGACTATGGGATGAACGACGTCATTCCTCTGTTGCACGTCCTGGAACAAATGCTGTTAACAATGGCTGGTCAGGGTGCGGTAGACGTGGCGCACATATCTCAACGCACATGACCCCTGTGGGGGCAGGACAGGCAGAAGAGGAGGAGGTAGAGGAGGACATTGGTGCTCAGGAAATATTGAGTGAAATGGGTGGTTTTTTCCACTCAGCGGACAGGAGTGGAGGAGCAGGAGCAATCTGGTAGAGGAGGAAGGAGGAGACAGAGGACCCAGACGCACCGTGGCAGTATGCTGTGGAGATGGAGGCAGGGAGTCCCTCGCATTCCTTGGACAAATGGCCCATAGCATGCTCGGTTGCTTGCGTAGCGGACAGCCGAATAATAACCATCTGACAGAGGGATGACTTTTTGGCTGTCCACCTTGTTGGACCCTCGCTACCGTTCAAAAATGGTGGCCTTTTTCACACCTGCTGAGAGGGAGGCCAAAATAACGTACTATAAAAACCACCTATGTAGTCAGTTGGTCTCTGCCTTTCTGCGCCAACGTCCATCCTCAGACACTGTGGGCCCTGTGCGCTCACGTTCCGCTGCCATGGCAGCAGGGAGGGGGTGGGGTGGTAGGAGCAGTGGCAGCTCCACCAGCAGCAGCTGCCTCAGTCTGCAGTCGATGATGAGTAGCTTTCTTCACCAGCGCAGTGAGGGAAACTACTAACCAGCGCAGCAGCAGCAGCATCAGGTGGACCTGGAGCAGGACCTCAAACAACAGGCTCGGGCCTACTTGGACAGCACCCTGCCAACCGAGGTAGACAATACCCCTTGACTACTGGGCAACGAAACTTGACCTTTGGCCCCAACTAGCTGAATTTGCCCTTGAAAGGCTGTCATGCCCGGACAGTAGCGTGGCATCGGAGCGCGTGTTTAGTGCGGCAGGAGGTATTGTAACTCCGCGGAGGACACGACTGTCCACCCAAAGTGTGGAGAGACTCACGTTTGTGAAAATGAATCAGGCGTGGATTAGTCTGGATTTCAAACCACCAGTTCCTGACACAACTGACTAAATCCGCCATGAATCATGCCCCAAACATGTTATTATTTTTAACATAGGCCTCTGTATGGCCTTCAATTTAAGCTGCTTACGCTTCGCCACTCTGCCATGGGCCCCTGTACCGCCTCCTCTTGCTGCTGCCAGGTCCAGAGTGTGTCATGGGTCCCCTGTACGGCCTCCCATTGCTGCTGACTTCATCGCCAGACTCTGCTATGTGCCACTTTCAGGTCTCCTCACACTGTTGGTGGGTTCCATTTTGTCATAGGGTGCTGGCAGATTACGGGCCTCCCATTGCTGCTGCCAGGCCCCGTAATCTGCCATGGGCCCCTGTACCCACCTCCTCATGCTGCTGCCAGGTCCAGAGTGTGTCATGGGTCCCTGTACGGCCTCCCATTGCTGCTGTCTCCATCGCCACACTCTGCCATGTGCCACTTTCAGGTCTCCTCACACTGCTGGTGGGTTCCATTTTTGTCATAGGGTGCTGGCAGGTTACGGGCCTCCCATTGCTGCTGCCAGGCCCGTATTCTGCCATGGGCCCCCGTACCGCCCCTCCTCATGCTGCTGCCAGGTCCAGAGTGTCTCTCATGGGTCCCTGTACAGCCTCCCATTGCTGCTGTCTCCATCGCCACACTCTGCCATGTGCCACTTTCAGGTCTCCTCACACTGCTGGTGGGTTCCATTTTGTCATAGGGTGCTGCAGATTACGGGCCTCCCATTGCTGCTGCCAGGCCCGTAATCTGCCATGGGCCCCCGTACCGCCTCCTCATGCTGCTGCCAGGTCCAGAGTGTCTCATGGGTCCCTGTACGGCCTCCCATTGCTGCTGTCTCCATCGCCACACTCTGCCATGTGCCACTTTCAGGTCTCCTCACACTGCTGGTGGGTTCCATTTTGTCATAGGGTGCTGTATGGCCTCCCATTGCTGCTGCCTCCACCGCCACACTGTGGCTCCACACTCTGGTTTTGGCCCCGTGACTGCCCAAATGAGTGAAGTGTGCGGTGATTCTAAGATCGACGGCACTCATCTGCATGTCATACTGACTGACAGTATTATTTCTCTTCCCCAGCAGACTCCAAGGGCATTTAAATTAAAGTACAGTGTTCTGCACTAATATAAAGGCTCTCTGAAGCCTAGAAACACCCTTTTTATAAGTTAAATTCGCAGCGAATATATTCGCATCGAATCGAATTTATTCCTCGAATTCGCCGAATCGAATTTTTGAATACTTCGCTCATCTCTACTTACAATATACATTAGGCAAGATTTTAAAGATGTGGTGGGAACCTCTTGCAAAGGCATGAGAAAAATGTTTTTTCCCCCCAAAGTTTCTGTAAAAAAATTAGGTAATTTTGGCAAAATTGTATAATTTTTAGCAGAAGGCCAAATTAAAGATGTAGCGGTTTTTTAAAGGTGCACTGGGGTTAAAAAAAAAACACAACCTCTCAATGAAGAAGAGTAGCTTGTTGTGTTTTGTAAGCTAATTTCTCCTAAGAAATTCAATAGAAAGTTTTTTGCTTTGGCAAAATGTTTCCAATAGCAATGTTTGCAGCAAAATCAATTTCACAGAAATTGGTCTTCCCATCCCTAATAATGACAATTCCAGTAAGTCTCTTGCACAGAAATCACACTACTGGAGCTCTTAGGGATAAAATAAACCAGTAGATGATCTGAAATGTCAGAATGTGCCAATAAGGTAACAGGGACATTGTGATTAATTATTCCAGTAGCTACCTTTAGGTAATTTTTGTGGTGTGGCAAACATTTTTGCCATCCAGTATTCTATAAAAGTTGTAGATTGACCACTGGAGGGAGTCTGTATTTGACTCATACTTCCTGCTTAACAACTGTTGAGATAAGGTGTCAGACACTCAATGAGTGCATTGTTTTTAGTGAGTTGACTGACAGGTTTTGATTTAGAAATAATTTGCATAGCCATTTACCTAATAAAAGTGCATATACATCCATTCTGTGCAAACAGGGCAAAAATGTACGTTGTACAAGTGTAAATCATTTATTTCAAATGGAATATATCATATTTAGCCACTATATAGAGCTAAGTATTATAGGAAATCCTTTTTAATACTTAGCTCCATATAATGGCCAAATGTGATATTTTCCATTTTAAATAAATTATTTACATTTGAACAGCACAAGATCAAAACAAATGGCAAAATCCCAGCTCATAGAGGCTCCAGGATACATGCATAGTCAATTGCAGGTGTGGATACAGTTCACCAAATAATGTCTATAAAATGAACACTCAGAATGCCACCAAGAAGTATTGATGATTGGAATGGAAGTGTGATGCATATTCACCATCAATGCATAGCAAAATGGCTCGTAGGTTCCTTACCAAAATACATATCCACAAGAATATATTGATGTATTCAGATATCCAATTTATTGAACACTTCAAAAACAAAAACATTATCTTTGCTCGAAATAACCTTGTTGAAACCTGGTAATCCAATGACAATTACATACTGTCCCTGTGACTCAGAGGTGTGCACTTAAGTCGCAATGATGAAACAAAGTAGTTGCCCCTTGTAAGGTGGCCAATCCTATGAAGGGACACCTGCTGGATATTATCCTCAAACTGGTGGCTCAGGGTCAAGAGCGGAAATCCAACTCTGATGGTACACTGACCGAGACTGCATCCTGGAATTATGAAAATGGAAAGTTGCGTTACTGCAAGTTGCATCACTGTTAGTGAAGTGCTGCCTACACTTTGGAAAATAACTGGGATAGCTGAAAGCATCTCAGATCACCAGTGTGATGCTTTTTGAGGAGTGGCCTCTTTGTTAGGTCAGCACATATAGCCTATTTACAATTGTTGTTTGTCTTATTTGCATGAAATGAATGTACATGCACTTTCAACTGGTGATGGGAAATGGCTATGTGAATTCTTCATAAATCTACGCCATAGACCTGCAATGTGAGAAGGAGGAGAAAGGCACAACCATCATGTACTTCTACAAAGTAGGAAGCAGGACCTGTGTATGTAATGAGTGACTCTAGCTACACAGATAATTACAAAGTATTAATAGAAATAGAATGTTTAAACACATACAGATAATTATCTTCACATCAATCTTAATTCTTTTAAAATCTATTTAAAGCCCCACTTTAGTCTGCAGCCTGCTCCCACCCAGCTGACCAATCTAATTGCCCATTTTACTCACCTATATCTGCGGTCATGTTACATTCTGGTCACAAGTCTTCTCTCTTTTGTGTAGAGAAAAAGATGAGGTCCTTCTTTCTGTGTCCACGTGCCTGTGTGACATGAATATTTCACGTTAGCTGTACAGCAATGAGGTGCTCTCAGAATCTAAAAGAGGAATCTCAGCAGTGATGGAAACAATTGGGAACTGGCTGATGTGGCTACAGTTGCCATACTGGAGTGTGGTCTCCTCTACCTGGAGACCATCCTGGCAAGCAATCTGGACAGTGAACTTTGATGAATAAATGTTTGCTTCACAAGGTGTTAAAAGAACATGGTAGGGTGTGAGAAGGGGGATACGTTTTTTCCAGAGGTGGGGTTTAGGCTACATCTCCCATGGACAAAACATGGTGGCTACCATTGTTGACTTAGTCAACCAACTTGAACCAAGTATAAGAAGTTTTAATTTCTTCATCATGTATTTATTGAATGGGTGACTCACCAAGCACAGCAAAGTAAGTATCATTTGTGAAAATAGGCCAGCAACAGCAGTCCACATATATTTTTCTCATGACAGGTATACTTGAAACATGAGTTATGAGAAGGACTAACCTTTTGACACCTAACTTGACAAAGTGAAAGCTTCCAATGATTCTAAATGATCTGCTATGTTCATCCCACTGTATCCAGCATCCTAAAGGAACTGTTTGTATTAGAGCTCATAGGATTATAACAACCACCTTTTTTTTTTTTTAAATGCAGAAAGAGTGCAGTGGAAGATTTCAGAGCATTTAAAGCCTCTCTCAGCTCAAATTGCAGTCAGATATAAAGGAATGTCTGGTAGTTCCCACATGTATCATGTTACAAGGCTAATTTTCCACTTGTCCTTCCAATATTTTGTTCCATTATTTAGAGGCGTTAAAATATCAGTTATGACGTCCTGATGCACTCCTACAAATTAATGCTGACACTGCAGGGACAAAGGGCTGTACATGCCTCACTTTACCCATGGTATTACTTTGAAAAAATAATACATTTATTTGCATGTATATGGGAAATAAACAACATCATTTTTACACCTTGCTAGAAAAAAATGAATCTAATGCTAACAAAAAGCATAAAAACTAAGCACACAAATGTGTAATTGCAGATAATTAATCTCAGTTGATATTTTACCGGCTATAGTAAAAACTGTAGATCTAAAGGTTCAATAGTGAAAATGGCACACTGGTCTACATATACAGCCAGGTGCAGACTGACAACTCATGGGACCCCCCGAGCAATAGGAGATCATGGGGCCCCATGTGTTACCACCCTCACTCAAGCCACACCTACACAAAGCTCATATTGCACTACCTACATTACATGCATTTGTGGCAGACACCCTCCATCCCAGCTGCACAGAAGGGCTCGACAGGAAACTGCGGAAGCTGTTTGACCGTCATGTTCAGGAATGAGCCAATGCCTGGTTCTTGTCTGCAACTTAGGCTCACAGAGATTCCCCTTGCCATTGCTGGGAAGCCAACAAACATATGACAGGTTCAAAGGTGGCAGCCATCTGTGAACCTGTCAGCTGCCCATATGCTTAGCTACCATGCTAATGCTAGATAAAGAGGTGCGGCACATGCAGCGTGCTGTTATATAAATTGGGCATGGTTTTCAAGGGCTGTAGGTAGCACCTGCTGGCTTTGCAGTACAGTAAAGATGCCGATGATTGAGGGATTAAAGTTGTTGAAGATTTGTTACCTTCATGCATTCTAAGTATGAAGGTATAAAACCTTTTGTGTGTAGCAGCACCCCCAGCCCCCCATAATACTTACCTGAGCCCCATCTTGATCCAGCAATGTGCACGAGAGCAGTGGCTGTCCCAGGTCTCTTCCTCCTCATTGGCTGAAATAGCAGCGGGAGCCATTGGCTCCCTATACTGTCATTCACAGTCAGTGAGCCAATGAGGGGAGAGCAGGGGGCAGGGCCAAGCCGCATCTGTGTGTGAATGGACACACAGACCAGTGGTTTGGGAACCCCCATAGCAAGCAGCTTTCTTTGGGGGCACTTGGCAGGAGGAAGGGGCCTGGATCACTGGCAGGGGACCCAAGAAGAGGATTGAGGCTGCTCTGTGCAAAATCACTGCACAGAGCAGGTAAGTATTACATGTATGTTTTTTTAAAGAAAAAGAAAATCTGCCTTTACAATCATTTTAATTGCTTTGTTTGGCCAAGACCCCCCCCCCCCCCCCACACACACACACACACACAATTTTTTTTACATAGAAACTTTACTGACAGCATGCATTTTTTACTGAGTTTCCGAATTGTGACAGTTTTTCCTATTGTAAACTAAAAAGTGAAGAGTGGGGTGGATGGATAGAGACAGAAGAGGACAGGGGGGAGGGGGGAGGAGATATAGCAATAGGAGAGAGGGGGGAAAATAGGAGAGAGATGGAGGAAGCGGAGGGGCAGAAGAAGGTGGGGAGAGGGTGGAGAGAGAGAGAGAGTGGGAGGTGAAAGAGGGGGGTGAGAGAGAGAGAGGTTGAGAGGAGTAAGAGGAGTAAGATAGAGAGGAAGTGAAAGAGAAAGAGGGGGTGAGAAAGAGAGAGGGGGAGAGAGAGAGGGAGGGGATGAGAGGGAGGGAAGGGGTGAAGGAAGGGGGGTGAGAGAGAAAGGTGACAAGAGAGAGAGCGAGAGGGAGCAAGAGCGAGGAGGGGGTTAAGGGGGGCATGAGAGGTGGGGATGAAAGAGAAAGACAGGGGCGAGAGAGGTCAGAGAGAGGGAAGGTGAGAGAGAAAAAGACAAAGGGATGAGAGAGAGGGGAAGGCGAGAGAGAGGGGGGGGGGGGCAAGAGAGAGGGGATGAGAGAGAAGAGGGGACAAGACAGAGAGGGGGCTAGAGAGAGGGGAGTCAGAGAGAAAGGGGGGTGAGAGAGAGTAGAGAGGTGAGAGAGAGCAGGGAGTGAGAGA